TTTTTTACATGTTTTTAAGGAACTCGCAGAGTTAAAGCAAATCAAGTTTACCAGGATTACATCAGTGACAGACACCATACACACATGAATGCTACCCAGGTCAGTGTGATAACTTTAAAGCACAGGGGAAAAAAGTAAGGAAGAAAAGTGTGTACATGTATTTAAATGAAAATTCTAGTTTGTGTATGATATGGTTCAAATTTATTTTGGCTGAAGTTGATTAAAAAAAAATAATAAAAATAAATCACAATATTTAGAGAGGAAGCCACATGACATTGACCTTAGCTGGTTTTCATGCAGGTCATGGGGCAAGGCAAGAACTAACAACAAACTCAACCCACATACACACATGTATGGCACCGAACTGGAATCGAACCTGGGAGGCAAGTGTTCTCACCACTGTGCCATCCTTGCTCTCCAAATTAAAAACCAGTGTACATGTATTCTAATGTTACAGGTTTTTTAATTTAAAAAAAGGTTATTTTATTTTTTTATATATGTATAATTATAAAATTTGTTTCAGCTATGACAATGTTTTGGCTGTTTTTATCTTTGTTACAGTGGGAAACTCTGACTCAATTTGTTAAATGGCTTGGAAGAGAAGGTACATTGTAAATACATTTAATTGTTATATTTATTTTTCTGAAGTGGTAACCTCACATTCAATGAAAGATGGTATCATAAATTTTAATTGAAAGATTAAGATGTTGTTCCCAGCTGCTGAAACAATGGATAATAACACTTTTATGGTTCCCAGTGAGGAGTTACATGTATTACTACGGTGCCTTTTACACTCAATATATGATTTTAAAAATTAAAGGAAACTTATGGATTCCAAAAGAAAGTACAAAAATAAGAACATGCAAATCTTCATTTTTGAGTTTTACATTTATTATTTATTATCAGGCAATAAGTGTACATGTACATATGTATATGTGATGCATGTTACTTATAACTGCTGCAGACACTGCGTAATATGTCTAATTAATCATTGATATAATTTTTTTCTAATATATGCCTCAGGACACTGCAAAGTTGATGAAACTGAAAAGGGATGGTTTATAGCATATATAGACAGGGATCCTGAAACCATTGAGAGACAAAAGGTAAAAAGAGGAAAAACAACATTAAATTAAATGCTTACAGGTTCCTCATGGTAATAGTGCACTTTCCTCTGGATCAAGTGGTCCATGTTCCATCCTTGGCCGGAGACATTGTGAGTTTTGAGTTAACCGAAACAACTGAATAAAAAGAATGATGCATATGTACAGGGTTAGTCTTGATCTGAAGTCAACTATTAGCAAACACCAGTGAGAGCATGAACTATTGACAACTCTGTGTATTGTTTCATCTTGCACTTCATCACTTTTGTGCTGGTATTTTGTGGATGATTTTTTTCAGAAGTTGAGTCTACAATGAAACGCTGTACAGATGAGTCTAAGTTACTCTTTTTGTTCAGCAGTCTCACTTAACTCGAAAGTGGATAATTAAATGGCTTTCTCATAACCTGTAGAAAAGGAAAAGTCTGTCTGTGAGCCAAGTGACCCATGAGGGTATGCTTATCTCCGGTTTCAGTAGCATGAAGCAACTAAGAGTATTTCTACTCCTCCCTGGATGGGATGTTTAGTCCATCACAGGGTTACCCCCAGCATTAAATTCGCTGGTACCCATTTATACAACTGGTGAAGAGAGACACTGTGAGAGTAATGTGTCTTGCCCAAGAACACAACACAATGTCTTTGGCCAGGGATTGAACCCAGACCACTCAAGCTGGAGATGCACGCACAAACCATGAGGCCACTGCAACACCTTCCAAGACATTTGGGGAGTGTACTGTTTTCTCTTCTTGGTTCAAGTTTCCTACCTACAGTGTACAGTATATATACAGTTGAACTCTGCTATTGAGAACTCTCAGGGGTGTGGGGNTATTGTGAACTCTCAGGGGACAAAATAGAGTTTAAAATAGCCAGAGCATCCAATTACTGATAGTAGGTGACTGAAGGGCAAATCCAAGGAAAATGGTTTTAAGTTCGAAATACATGTAAGGGGGAATTCAGAATAACCAAGATTGAATTAGCATGGTGCAAAAAAGTGTACTGTTTCTCAAATTTTAAGTAATGCTTGAGAAATCAGTCTGTACACATAACCTCAAAGTTATCACCTTACAGGCATGAGATTCATGTCTATGGCATGAGAGCTGGCAGGTATACAAGTCATGTACATGTCTACATTGTAAATGTCATTTCATTCACAGGCGGCTGAAGTTAAGGAAAGAATGGATATGGATGATGAAGAGAGGCGAGGTATGCTGCACATTTTAGAAAGAAGTATTATTATGTCAGCTCAAATATTTGTGTTTTCTGGTTTACTTAATTTGTTTCCAACATGTCGTGTTCTCTTCAAGATTTTATGCTGTAAATCACAAACATTTAAACAATTTGGATTCATGTGGTAGGATTTCTGATGATTGAATTTAACTTAGTGTATGTAATTACAGCAGCATTACAGTGCAACCCCTCTTAAACAGCCACCTTTGGGGAAATGGATAGTGGCTGCTAGAGGTAAAAAACAATAGAAAAGCCCACATTGGACTTTGATTACTGACTGCCTAATAGGGATAGCTGTTTAATAGGTGGCCTGTTAAAATAGGGGTTCGACTGTATTATCAAATTAAAAAAGTAATGATCTGTACTGTTTAGGTTGGGACATAGAGTGTACAACAAAATGTACAATGTAATACAGTGGAAGAATGACAAAGTATTAAATAAATGCACTGTTCAGTATGCAGTCATGTACATGTAAGGACACGGGAATTTTTAAGAACATGAAAGTAGTGCATAGAGAAGCACAAGGGGAACTCAAGTACTTCTCAAGTGTTCTTGAAATTTCAAGTACTACA